TTTTTGAGACAGGGTCTCCCTATGCAGTTCAGACTGGCCTTGAGCTCACTTTGTAGCCCAGGCTGGTCTCGAACTTGCAACGATCCTCCTGCCTCAGCCTCCTGAGTGCTGGGATTACAGGCATGCACCACCACGCCCTGCTGGTGCTTTGATATCTCAGGGTCCTGCTACTTCTGGAGAGACTTCTCGCTCATACCTGGCCGTTCCCAGAGGTAGCGAACACCGCGCCTGTGAGCGTGATGCTTCTCACACGCGTGCAGCCCATCCTGAGCCCTGAGGCCCAGCCTCCTCCGTTACTACCACACACGGAGCCCAGGGCTCCGTGCCCCACGCTGGCCCGCGGCCAGCCACCAGCCAACCACAGCCCGTCTCTGCAGCCTAGCGCCTGCCACAGTTATTCAGTCTGTCCAGTGTTGAATTTGCTTTCACTTACCTCACCTATTTTCACTATCGTTGCCACAGAAACCGCGGTGAAGGCGCTGGACGGTCCCCTCCCCTCGCTGCTTCTGCCTCCCCCTGCCGTGCTGCTTCCTCACTGGCCCCCCAGAGGCTGCAGTGCCTCCTGCTCTGGGAACTGAGTAGCACAGCTCTTTTTTTTTTTTTTTTCCTTCCCCGGGTACCGGGAATTGAACTCATGACCTCGCGCTTGCCAGGCAGGCACTGTGCCGCTGAGCTCAATCCCCAGCCCCATAGCATAGGTCTTGCAATGACAGCGACTCCTCAGTCATGGCTCAGGCACACCTGTATGTTAAATCCCAGCTACATTTTAAAACAAACTCCTTGCCGGGTGTGGTGGGGGGAGTTGAACTTGTGATCCTCCTGTCTCAGCTGCTTGAGTGGTGAGATTACAGGTGTGCATCTTCACCCCACTTCTTTACTGAACAAGTATTATGTTCTCAGCGTGTCACATGTGTGCATGTGGCGATGCATGCCTGCAATCCAGCCCTCAGGAGGCTAAGCCAGAAGGATCAGGAATTTGAAGCCAGCATAGGCTACATGACAAGTACAAGGCCAGCCTGAGCTCCATAGTGAGACCCTATTGAAAACAAGCAAATAAATGCATTACAGGTATTAATGCATTTTATCTCATTCCCACAACAACCCTGTGGAAAGGTATTTTTTAAATCTCTACCTCACAGTTGAAGAAACTGAGCCACAGTGAGTTTAAATAATTTGTTTAGGGTCACAGAACTAGTAGAGGAGCATGGGTAGTCTATTCTGTAAGCCACTCTGCCCACTCTGCTGTCTTCGACGCGATTCTCTCTTCTGTAGAGTAGCATAAAATCCCTGACAACTTTGCTCACTAAAAAAGAGGCAGTGGCCCGGAATGGTGGCGCACGCCCGTAATCCCAGCACTTGGGAGGCTGAGGCAGGAGGATCACTGTGAGTTCGAGGCCATCCTGAACTGCCTAGTGAAACTCTGTCTCAAAACAAAACAAAACAAAACAAAAGAGGCAGCATGCCAGACACGGTGATATGCACCTATAATCTCAACTACTTGGGAGGCTGAGGCAGGAAGGTCATAAATTTGAGGCCAGCCTGGGCAGCTTAGACCTTATCTGAAAGTAAAATAAAAATTTTGAGACAGGGTTATCAGGTTAAATAACCCTTGGTTATTGTGGGCTGATCAGGTCCACAATCTCCCAAGCAAGTGGACAGGTAAGGCTTAAATAAATGAGACAACTGAGAAGCTGGGCCTGGTGGCACACGCCTGTAATCCCAGCACTTGGAAGGCTGAGGCAGGACGATCACTGTGAGTTTGAGGCCAGCCTGGGCTACAAAGTAAGTTCAAGGACAGCCTGAACTGCATAGAAGAACCTTGTCTCAAAAAAAAAAAAAAGACAACTGAAATGATTTCAGGGCTCCAGGAGGGTCTCACTCTCCTACAGCTTTGAGATTCTCTGAGTTTTAGACAAAGACTTCTCTGGGCAGCCTGCATTTATTTGGTTTTCAAACAAAGGAGGGAGATACTCAAGAAAACGCGGGAATTTCACAGGATGGTTGGGAGAATTTTCCCAGGCAGTAAATCATGTCAATCAGGAGAACTACCTTATCTTTAGGTTGGTATTTATTGTAGGAATGTGGGGCCTGCAGCTGCAGTGTCCTTGTAGTTAATTGGGGTTGGAGCCAAGCTTCCTCAGCTGTGGCCTTATCTTGTCCTTTGAGGTATTACAGCTTCACAGGCTAATACAGGCCTCAGGGTGACCAGCAACTCACAGAGGCTTATTTACTATGAGACCACTGCCTATCTTCAGACAAGGTACCTAAGATTCAGATAACTCACAAGTAAACACAGAAAGCCAATTGGTTAATATTAAATCCTGCTCAGAGCCACTTCATAGTGGTCTCCAACACAGGGTCTCACTATGTGGTTCAGGCTGGCCTTGAACCCACTATGTAGCCCAGGCTGGTCTTTAACTCACAGAAATCCTCCTGCCTCAGCCTCCCAAGTGCTGGAATGAAATAATGAGGCCTGGAAATGTAGCTCAGTGGTAGAACATTTGTCTAGCATGTATAAGCACCTGATTTCAATCCCTATCATATATATACACACACATATAGCCATCCCACTATGCACATGCATACATATGTGAACACATAAAAATACGACCAGTTCTGCCTATTCTGTTACCATTCTTTAGCTCTTTGGCTATAATTTGCATTGTGCTAAGTATTTTACCCATTTCCATTTTTTGTGGTACTAAGGGTTGAAGCCATCCTTAGCCCTTTTTTATTGTTTATTTTGAGACGAGGTCTAGCTGAATGGGCCAGGCTAGGCTCGAGCTTATGATCCTCCCACCTCAGTCTCTGAGTGCTGGGACTGTACCACCACCCATGTCTTTAAGTATTTTATATCCGTAGTCTTATTCAGTACTCTGTGATGTTGGTACTGTTCAGACTTTTTAGGTTAGATCACTGAGGCTTAGAGGCATGGAGTAATTTACTTTAAACCACACAGCTAGGACATGATACCACTAGGGTTTAAACTCTGTCTCTGATTTACATGACCAAGGTTTCTGCTTTGTGCTTACAGAATTGGTGTGACTGAGTAGGGACATGGCTCATTTCCTCCCGCCTCTGTTCATGAGGCTTGGATGCTTCTTTTCTCCCTTCTGTTGTCCCATGCGGAGATCACATGGAGTTATGTGTCATGTTGTAGTCAGCACTCCTCCTGGGTGGCTCCTGGCCCAGCTGGATCCCGGGCTCTGGTTCCCTGCAACTGGAGATAACCTCAAGTGATAGCATTTTTTTTGGTATCGGGAATCGAACTCAGGACCTTGTGCTTGCCAGGCAGGTGCTGTACCTCTGAGCTGTATCTCCAGCCTGAAGTGATACCTTTAAGCATGGAATTACTTCAAGTCTCCTCCTGTATACATATACATATATATATGTGTATATATATTTTTTTTTCTTTTTTTTTTCTTTTTGAGACAGGGTCTCGCTATGCAGTTCAGGCTGGCCTTGCACTCACTTTGTAGCCCAGGCTGGTCTCCAACTCGCAACAATCCTCCTGCCTCAGCCTCCTGAATGCTGGGATTACAAGCATGCGCCACCACACCCAACTATGTATTTTTTTTTCCTTTCTTTTTTCGGGGCTGGGGATTGAACCCAGGGCTTTGTGCATGTGAGGCAAATGTTGTACCACAGAGTTACATTCCCAGCCCCTCCTACTGTTTGGTTTTTTTCTGTCTTTTTGAGACAGGGTCTCGCTATGCTGTTCAGGCTGGCCTTCAGCTCACTTTGTAGCCCAGGCTGGTCTCGAACTCGCGAGGATCCTCCTGCCTCAGCCTCCCGAGTGCTGGGATTACAGGTGTGAACCAGCATGGCCCTCCTACTGTATTTTAATATTCACTTCAACACTGCATTCTTCTTGGGAACATGCTCAAATTTATTTTATTAAAAAAGAAAAAGAAAAAAGAAAAATGTCACCCGTTCCCTGTCGTCAGGTGACGCGAGCCCTGGAAGGGTTACCACGTTCTCCTGTGGCTCGAAGCTGCTTCTACCTGAGAAGCTTAGCCATGGCCGCGGTGGCAGGGCTCGCACTGCTTGGAGCACGGGGCTGCCCTCAGGGGCAGAGCTTCCGGATGTCTCCGCGGGGCTCTGCGCATGTCCTCCCTCCTGCCGCCTCTGCGTTCTTAACTCGAGGCTCCTCACCCTGTGCTCCTCAGGTTACACAGTGGCCTGGCTGCCTTCCCAGGGGCCCACGTCACTGGTGGCAGCGGGAGCCCCCCGATACCAGCATGTGGGGCAGGTGTTGCTGTTCCGAGAGCTGAGGGATACAGGAAACTGGACACAGATCCAGGAAATAAACGGGATCCAGGTGAGCACGGCCCAAAGGGCACCTCAGGACGGGGGCCCGTACGGCGTGAGTGGCACTCCCTGTGCCTCCCGTGTGGCAGGCCAAGCCCTCCGAGAGGAGCCATGCCACGGCCGAGTCTAAGACACTGCACCTTCCAGAGCCCAGCTTGTGTGAACTCAGTGTAGGCTCTGAGGTGGGTCCAGGACTCGGACCTGGGGCAGGAAGAAGGCGGACACAGTGCAGCTGAGGGGTACAGCGCCTGCTATCCCTCAGACATCGTCCTCTCCCTACAGATTGGCTCTTATTTTGGTGGGGAGCTGTGTGGCCTTGACATGGATCAAGATGGGGAGACAGAGCTGCTGCTGATTGGAGCCCCTCTGTTCTATGGGGAGCAAAGAGGAGGCCGAGTGTTTATCTACCAGAAAAAACAGGTGGGAACTGGGGCCATGAGTGAGGTGGAAGGGAAAGCAGAAATTCACAGGTCCACTCAGGTCCCAGGGACTGGAAGGGTTTCTCCTGTCTGTCACATGTTAACCAAACCTTTAGAATCACCAGGCATGATGGTGCATGCCTGTAATCCCAGCACTCAGGAGGCTGAGGCAGGAGGGTCACCGTAAGTTGAAGGCCAGCCTGGACTACATAGTGAGTTCAAGGCCAGCCTGAACTGCATAGTGAAACCTTGTCTCAAAGGAAAAAAAAAACAAAAAAACCTTTAGGACAGTAGACAAACAATAGCTAACCAGGCCGGGTGCCAAACATTTTGTATCTATGGCCTCACTTCACCCTTCTGTGACCTCCTGAGATTCTGGAAGTGTTGTTTTACAAATGGGAACACAAGGACTCAGTGAAGCAAGGTAACTTTCCAGAGCCACAAGGTCACACAAGGCACTGAAGCTCAGGTTAGTCTGATGGTGTTTTCCAATTCTGTGAAGGTCGCACGTCACATTTCTCTATTTTTTTATTTTATTTCTTTTTATCTTTTTTTGAGACAGGGTCTCACTATGCAGTTCAGGCTGACCTTGAGTTCACTTTGTAGCCCAGCTCGAACTCATAACAGTCCTCCTGCCTCAGCCTCCTGAGTGCTGGAATTAGTTAACACTGGTTAACATATGATCAGGCGTGAGCCACCACACCCAGCTCACATTTCTTTAATGCTCTTCACTAGACTGTTCTTGGGCCGGGGATATAGCTCAGTGGCACAAGCACCTGCCCGGCAAGTGCAAGTTTGTGAGTTCGATACCTGGTACCAAAAAAAACAAAGTGTTCTTTTCATCTTCTGTGAAAGCGTCCTGGGTGATCCAGGTGTGTGACCTTCTTCCTTCCCAGCTGGAGTTCGAGGCCGTCTCAGAACTGCAGGGGCTTCCTGGCTACCCACTTGGGCGGTTTGGAGCCGCCATCACTGCCCTGACCGACATCAATGGGGACGGGCTGATGGATGTGGCTGTGGGAGCCCCTCTGGAGGAGCAAGGGGCCGTGTACATCTTCAACGGGCAGCACGGGGCGCCCAGACTCCAGCTGAGTCAGGTGAGGCACCCGCCTGCCCAGCAAAGCCTGCTCCCAGGCCTGCTCCCCCATGCCTCCAGCCCACACCGCAGTCCCAGCCTGACTTCCTGCCCTCCCTAACCTCTCCCTGAATTTTCTCTTCTTCTCAGAGGATAGACGGGACCCAGGTGCGGTCAGGAATTCGGTGGTTCGGACGCTCCATCCATGGGGTGAAGGACCTTGACGGGGACAGCCTGACGGACGTCGCTGTGGGGGCTGAGGGCCAGATGATCGTGCTGAGGTGAGGTGGGGCTCTGGGGCCCCCAGCAGCTTCCGCTCTCAAGGTGGGAGTGGTGGACGGGGCACTGAGCTGAGAGAACCCGCTTGTGTGGTTGTCACCCCAAGCCTGGAAGGTGGGTTCTCCTTTACAGAGGTCTCATGTCTTCCTTGGGAGTCAACAGGTCCCAGTTAGTAACAGAACAGGGATTTGAACACGGGCCTCTTTGACACTGAAACCTAGAGAAGCAGCATCATGGGATGGACAAAGGCTTGGCTTTAGAACATGGTGGCTTGGGTTCTCGGGAGCTGACCTTCCTTGTGTTTCAAGTGGTGGTGAAGCTGGGCATGGTGGCGCACGCATGTAATCCCAGCACTCGGGAGGCTGAGGCAGGAGGACCACTGCAAGCTCAAATCCAGCCTGGGCTTATGTAGAAAGACCCTGTTTCAAAAAACAATTTAAGGGCCGGGCGTGGTGGCACATGCCTGTATTCCCAGCACTCAGGAGGCTGAGGCAGGTGGATTGTTGGGAGTTCGAGACCAGCCTGGGCTACAAAGTGAGCTCAAGGCCAGCCTGAACTGCATTAAGGAAGATTTTTTTTTTTTTTCTCCAGTACCAGGAACCGAACTCACGACCTTGCGCTTGCCAGGCAGGCACTTTGCCGCTGAGCTAAATCCCCAGCCCCAGATTTTTTTTTTTTAAGTCCAACAAGTAAATAGGTAATTGGGGCAGGGGTGAGGCAGAGTCTTGCTATGTCTGCCTTTGTGTGTGTGTGTGTGTGTGTGTGTGTGTGTGTGTGTGTGTGTGTCCTGGGATGGAGCACAGGGCCTCACACATGCTAGGCAATGCTCTACCCTGAGCTACATTTCCAGCCTTGATTTCTCTATTTAAAAGCTCATACTTCATAGATAGCGGCTCCCAGGCTGTCAGAAGTGAACTAGAGAGGCCTCATCAGTTGCACCATGGCTGAGACAGTTGAGAGGAGACTGGGCATCACCTTTAGGCTTTTTTTTTTCCGGGCTGGTCTCAAACTTGCAATGATCCTCCTGCCTCAGCCTCCCCAGTGCTGGGATTACAGGAGTGCGCCACCACGCCCAGCCAACATCACCTTGAGGGACAGAGCCCAGAGCTGAGGCGTGTTCCTGGGAGGCCCAGGAGGGACTTGGCGGTTTTCTGCCCCACAGGTCGAGGCCCGTGGTGGATGTTATCACCCGGATGTACTTCTTCCCCCTGGAGATCCCCGTGCATGAGGTGGAGTGCTCCTACTCGGCCAGTCCCCGGAAGAAGGAGGGAGTTAACGTCACAGTCTGCTTCCAGCTCAAGAGTCTCACGCGCCAGTTCAAAGGTCAGTGCCATCCCCTGCTCCCCAATGCTGGCCCACAACCCCTGGCACCATTCAAATCCCGCCGTCACCCCGGCAGGTCGCTTGGTTACCAACCTCACCTACACTCTGCAGCTGGACGGCCATCGAAGCAGGAGCCGGGGTTTGTTCCCTGGAGGGAGGCCCGAGCTCACCGGCACTGTAGGTGTCTCAGAAGATGAATCCTGTAGGCAGTTCTGGTTTCACTTCCCGGTAAGGAAGCCTGTGTGGATGTTCTGGGAGACAGCTCATGACTGGATGCAGGCGCGGCACTGTCGCACTGGGCGACGGTCACGTTGATCCCTCCGGGCTACGGTTCCTCTGCTGGGCAGTGGCTGGGATAGTATCCACAGCGCATTTTCCTCCAGTTCTGATTGTGTCCATGCAGGGGTTTTTGTCAGGGTGATGATTGTGATGTACCATCTATTTTCCCTACTCTTTTCTCACATGAAATATAACTCTGGTACACAGCATTCATAGGTATTTTCAGTGGCTACAGAATAGTCAGTCATCATGGTGTGTCATTATTTACCAGGAACATAGAGTGACTTATTATTAACACTTATTCCAGCTGGGCTTGGTAGTGCACACCTGTAATAAAAGCACTAGGGAGGCTGAGGCAGGAGGATTGTTGCGAGTTCAAGACCAACACGGCTACAAAGTGAGCTCAAGGCCAGCCTGAACTGCATAGCGAGACCCTGTCTCAAAAA